TTTACATGCGAAACAACCTGCTCCCAGCGGCCGCGGGAAGCAACTTCAACTAGATTTTTTCACTTTAAACTTACTTCTAAACATTTCATTTTCTGCCTATCCTATTTCACCACCCCACAAAACTCCATAATCACCGTTTTTGCAAGAGAAAATGCTGGGACTAGAGGTATATTAGTGGGGCTACATAAGCCACTTTTGTCTTTAAAAGTGCCTGTGGGCCATCTTTGACGCAATATACTTTGGCTCAACCCACATAAAAACATTAGTTAGCGGTCAAACAATGAAACCAATTATCCCAGCCAGCCATGTACGCATCAGAAATTGATAATAATTTTGTATGGGAGAACACACAAATTGTTGGCATTGGCCCAGTCAGAGAAAGCTGTGAATTCCTGGAAGCAATGCACTCGGATGAGATATACATCAACCGGCATATAGGTGAAGACGCCACATACAACTTTTTCCAGGACAGCGTTTAACGTGCACAGTCAACCACAGCGGGGTGACAAGACGCATGCAAGGCCTGTTGGCGCAGATGTCAACCAATCATAAAAGGCTTCGTTAGATACGTTTCATTTAGTTAATTATTCCTGAACACATCCCCCAACCTGACGACGAACTGGGGACCAGCCTCAAAATATGCACATTAAATTTCAGTTCCCCAAAGAATCTCTTCTCTTCTTAATTAAGTATCTTGGGGTGCCAGTACTTCAATATTTATAATGCGTATGAGAAGTTACTGATACATGACGATATAAATTAAGTGACCGCTGGAGTTCACCTAATCTGGTTATAAATAATTCATCTTTTGAACATTCGTGCATCTTAAGAGGACTGAAACGCTCAAATTTAGAGACGCAATTTGACCATTTACAGGTTAGAGTCACTAAACACCTTTGGCCTAAATACAGGACTCCCTGAGCGTATTCTTTCGATAATGTCAGGGATGCTAAGACGAGTGTCTCCGAAGGGCGGTGAATGACAGAAGAGTTCGTGCGCAATT